TGGGAATCTCCTCTCCACCACAGCACCAAGCAGTGCCTCTGGTAGCACTTCCAGAACCCAAGTCTAGCCATGACATCCTCTCTGTCCTCACTACCACCCGTGCTAGATGGTGGGATGGGTCCTCCCCACCTGCTCTGATTCCTCTCATTCGCCTGGGGAAGGGTGGCCAGAAAAGAGGAGGATGCCCCACGCCATCCAAGCAATCCTTAGGAATCCCCAGAAATTGCTTCCTTTGGGTTTCTTGGCCTTTTGAGGGTCCTGGACAGGTTCACTGAGTGCTCTGATGACAAAGAAGAGCAGTGAATCAACTTCTCCACCACTAAATCCGTCCAAAACTTGGCGTTTTCCCATTGTCAACATTCCCAGGCCAAGAAGCTCCTCCCAGTCCATGCCCAGGAGGCAGATTTGGATGTGTTTTGGGGCTGGAAAGAGTGCCACAAGTGTGTTGTGCCACGTGTCCTCGCAGCTGGGGGACATCYCCTGCCCCGTGCTGTTTATCTGTCTCGATGGAGCCTCTCCCTGTGGGATTTAATTTCAGGATTTTCCATATGTTTGCTTCTTCGCGTTCCTGCAGTGCCAAATTTCGGGTGGAGGAGGCTTTGGGGTGGGAAGTGACATGATCTATGGGGACACTGATGGGACAGCCTCCAACCCAGCTCCTGAGAAGAGGAAGGACTATTTCGGGAATGCCTGAATGCCACTCCTGCTGGTTTCCTTGGAAGAAGGAGAGTATCCAGGGGAAGCTCTGTGTTCCTGCCACCAAACCTCAGGGACTGGGGGTATTTGGGGGAATTAAATGTGGTTCAGTGCAGAAAACCACCAGATTCTGCTTCCTCTGAACCTGTCAGCCCCAGAGCCGGCAGCAAACCTTGGGAAGAGCGTCTGTCTGTGGATAATCCAACCGTGCAGCAAAGAGCACGTGTCCAAGAAAAGCTTTGAATTATAAGCATAGGGGAAAGAGAAACACTTTCAAACTAGAAGAGGAGATCCAAACTATCTTGGATCAGATATTGGGAAGAAATTCTTCCCTGTGAGGGTGGTGAGGCCCTGACACACGTTTCCCAGAGAAGTTGTGGCTGCCCCATCCCTGGAAGTGTCCAAGGCCAGTTGGATGAGGCTTGGAGCAAACTGGCATAATGGAAGGTGTCCCTGTCCATGGCAGGGGTTGGGACTGGATTAAAGTCCCTTCCAACCCAAACCATTCTGGGATTCCATGAGATTTTCCTGCCGTGGGAGGGGTTAAAGTACCCCCTCCCTTATCCCCTGCTGACGTCCAGCTGGGAGCTGATGAGCAGACCAACCTGTTTCCCAACTTCTSCAGGGTGGAGCTCATCCCTGAGCTCCTCCTTGCTCTCCTGTGTGCTGGGGCGAATCTGTGACAGTGCTGGGGAGGAGTCAGCTGCTGGTGGGGGAGGCAGATCAGTGGCACTCCCCAAGGTTTTCTGAGGATACAGGGCTCTGCATCCCATCCCAAATCCTGGTTTCAGACCTCTTTAGTTTACACCATCAAGACATGGCACATTCCAGGGACCAAATYCYRSTCTCAAAKCTCCTYTGTTGACACTGTGAGTTAATCCATGGGTCYTGGATCCCACCAGACCTGCTGGGCAGCCTCAGCCCATGTGAGACCCATCACCCTGGTGACACCAAATCAAAGCTGCAATGGCCACACCCTCGTCTTCACCTCTGGTCTCCATCGAGCTCCTTTGTGATGGGAGCAGGGCAGGGATGTCTTTCTCAATGTTTGCAGGCCCAGTTCYTGAGACAACTCCCAACTAAAGCTCCCCGTGAGTCAAGGAACAGCATTTCTGGAGGAGGCAGCAATGTGGGAGGTTGTTGGGAGGAGGAGCATTCCCACCTTTGGGAGCTGCAGAGACCTGGGAGAGGTACAGGCACCATGGGTGGGCACCAGATCCTCGTGATCCTGCTCTAGGGTCACCCCTGGGCCAGCTGGATGAAAGGACTGAGATCCAAAYGTCACCTGGAGTTGTTATCCCCATTTTTATCACGTGAATCAGACAGCGAGTGACTCTCCTGAGGTCAGACAGGGGGAAGTGGTGGAAATGCTTKGTTTGGATTCGTGCCTGGACCACCATCTCCCCAAAAAAACTYGGTGAACTTCCTCCCTGCTCCACTTCCCTGGAATTGCTGAAGGAATCAGGTTGAAGGCAGGGTGAAAGCTCAAAGGTGAGGAACAAAAAAGTAAAATTTGTATTAATCCAAATGCTGGCCCTGTGTTTTGGCTATGACCATTCCTGAAGGGAGCCAGAGGAATTTGAAGAAGCAGGAAGATGCTCCAGGAGTCCTTGCAAAGAGGGTGTATGTAGGAAAATCAGGAAAATTCTCCCAAAATGGGGAAAAAGGCACAGCACCATCTAATTTGATCCCCTCTTTATTCTCCAAAACTTCACAGATGCCAAGAAAATAAAGTTCCCTTCACGCTGCCAAGCCCAAAAATTTGCGGGATTCCCAAGAGCTTTGCAGCCATCGGAGAGGGTGGGACAGAGGGTCACCCACCTTCCAAGCTGCCCACGGTAACAAACTCTGAATTCAAACCCTGCAGGGCTTTGAGATTCGGATGGAAAAGCCCCCTGGCCTAGCACAGGGATGCTCCAGAATTATCCCAGAGCCCAAAGCAAGGCACACTCTGGATTGCTGCTGGTGTGGGGCAAACAGACACTGGAGAATGACCAGGAGCTGCTGGTGGAACCAACAGGATGGACCCACATTGTCCCTGGATCTATCCACCTGTGGATGGATCCTTCTCTGGGCTCAGCCAGCTCATCCCTCACCTGGCTGCTCGCTTTTTTCCTGGAAGTTGTTCCAGGATCTGGGCTGTCAGCATGCCGTGCCCTGGGACAGAGGCAGCAGCACCCTCTCGTGGGCTTTGTCTGGCTCTTCGTACTGGAACCCAGCCAGAATTTCCCAAGAAAGTGTTTTTTTTTACCGTCGTGTCTCCCCTCCCGCAGTTCAAAACATGCATTAGTGCCCCAGACATGGAAATTTTATGGAAAAGTGCCAACTTCCATCAAACTCCACCTTGTAGGTGGCTGGGTTTTTTATAGTTTTGCCACTTTTTAAAAAATTTATTTTATTTTCCTCACCAAGTCTGGGTTTCAAAGCAACTCACAGAGGCATGGAAAGGGTCAATCCCTTGGATTCACTTGCCCACAGCCTCTGGAAAGATTTGGGGGTCTCCAGGTCCTGTCCTCGGAGAGGCGAGTCACCCCAAAATCTCCAATTTAGCAAACAGGCATAGACTGAGGCATTCAGCATTCAGATAAGGCCAGGACATGAATCCTCAGAAGTTATTTCAGTTTGGAATGCTGGAAATCCAACGTATTTTATTAAGTCAAAAGTAAAAAAAAAAAGGATAATTTAAAAACCCACGTTTTTTATTTTTTGTTTCAGTCTGTCTTGACCCCAAACAGCTCCAGGGATTTCAGYTTGTAGCTTTTGGGTTGGAAAACTSCTGRTTTCTCCAAAAAGCTGGAATTTCCCCAAAGATGAATTTCCAGCAGGAAACTGTCACAAGCCCAGAGTTGTGTTTGTCCATCCCTGGTACCTGCTGGGAACAGCCAGGTCACTTYTCCCCTCTCCATATTCCTTGGTTTCCATGATCTGGCAGGTCACTCCAGAATCCCAGCGATGTTGGTCACCCCCYTAACCAAACGAGGACCTCACCCCCTCCCCTGAACCCTACAAAGAATTAGGAAACAGCTCTGGGGCTGCTGTGCCTCAGAGAGGAGGTTTGGGGTTTTCCTGCCTGGCCCAACACTCATCTCATGGTAGGGGTGGCAGGGGAACAAGGGGTGGCCACTGGTCACATGTCACCATCTGATGTCCCCTCTTCCACTAACCCCTGCCTGGGGAATTCTCCCTCTTTTTCAAGGTTTCATGGCTCTATCCCACTTCCCCCCTCCCTCCCAGCACATGGATTGGCACAGGGATAAATTTCTCCACAGGATTTGGTGGCTCTGAGAGCAAAGGTGAAGGGTGACAACTGCCCTGGACCCGAAGGAACCACGTCACAACACCATCCAGCRCGTCCCTGAGGTATCCAAACTGGTCATTATCCACAGCCAGGCATTTATTATTCCATTTGGAATCGTTGCTCCATCTGAATTCCACGTGATCCTGCTGGCTCCRGCCGCTGAAAGGGCTCTGTGTTCRCTTTGTGCTGCCTCTTTCAGGGCCGTGCTCAGGGAATTCTTCCTCCAAGGACCTTTTTCCATGCCTTGGAGGACAATATCTCCCACTTCCCTGTGTTCCCATGTCCATCTGGGTGGGTATCCCTCCCCAGATTCCTGCAATAACCCCGGAATGAGCCTCTAGAGCATCTTCACCTCTGTCCAAGCCTTTGGATAAGGTCAGAGAAGCTCAGTGCAGTCTGAAATGAGGAGAAAAAGGTTTTTCCAACCCCATTTTGTTAAGGATGCTCCAAACATCTTCCCAATCTGAGGGGTGGATGTTGCCTCTCACAGCACAGCTCAGGATCATTTTCTGGGCAGCCTCATCCRTGCGTTAATGACTCCCATCTTTCCGTGGTCCCAATTGGTCCTAATTCCTGGCCAAAATTAGTGGTTAGGAATCACAAATCATTAATCACCCTCCTTCCTCCATGCATGCCTCACGTGTCTTGGAGAGGTGCAATTGCCACCAGGGTTGATTGACATTACAGGAGGAGGTATTTCCATATCCTTGAGCTGCAGTGGGAATTGTAGGATCATGGAATGTTTTGGGTTGGAAGGAACTTAAAAATCATCCAGTTCTAAACCCCTGCCATGGGAGCACCTCCTGCTATCCCAGGTTGCTCCAGGCTTTATCCAGCCTGGCCTTGGACACTTCCAGGGATGAGGCAGCCACGGCTTTCCTGGGAAATCCATTCCAGGGCCTTACCCCCTTCCCAATAAAGATTTTCTTCCCRATATCCCATCTAAACCTCCTCTCTTTTTTAGTTTATTTTTCACATTGTTAAAAAAATAACCCTTTGCTCTTCAGCCATGCCCAGGATTATTTATTTCCCTTTCTCTTACCCATGGATACAAGGAAGCTTTTCTGCAGCAAAGGCACAGCAAATCAAGCAAAAAAAACCCAGCCAGTTTTGCTTTAAAGCAGCAAAAAAAAAAAAAAATCCCGACTGTTTTCCTGCAGGCTGGGGGAGCCTCTGTCTCCACTGCTGCAGGAAGAATAAATCCAACCCAATGAAATATTAATTATTAGAGTCAGTCCAACTGGGATTCCTTGGTGCTTTCAGAGAGTGGAGAAATTCTGGCATGCAGGAGAAAAAACACACAAATCCCTCTTTTTTGTTGTTTTTTTCCACTTTTTTATGAGGAAATATTTTGTGATGAGTAAATTAAGAGCTTTGTTTTGAGGGAAGGGAGGGGGTTTGGAGTGCTTCAGGCAGGGAAATAAAAATTCCTGAAGAGGGTTGGGAAGAGACTGTGGTGTAAATAAGAGGAGAAAGGAACCACCCCAAGTTCCTTCACTCGGTAACTGCAACAAGGAGGGGGTGAAGGAAAGCAGAAATTSATTAATAAAAGAGATGCATCCCAGAAAATTCCTTGTTATGAAAAAATCCTTCATCCCGAGCAGCCCAGGCTCCAGCCTGAGGCAGCCCTGCTCAGCGCAGCTCAAAGCCTCTTTTGTGCCTCTTGTTTACCAACTTCAAATTGGAAGCACAACAGGGAGCGTCATCCCTTGGCTGAGGAATGTTTTGCAGATTTGGGAGCTTTGACTCAATTTAAAGCATTCCCATGATTTTTCCAGAGCAAAATTCCTCCAAAAAGTGTTGCCTGGAAGAAAAGAAAAGCACTCAGGGCACCTCTGACAATGAAAAATCTCTGCGCTCTCATCGTTGTTCATTTCTTCAGCTCCTTTTTTACCCTCGTTTCTCTGCAGGCTCTGGAAATGTCTCCATGAARTATTTGGCCTCTCAATAATCAAAAAAACAATCACCAAGTTCACTGACTCTGTTCTCCTTATAGAACTCTCCACGGTTCCTCAGCAGCTCAACCCAAATGCTGCAAATGCTTTGCATGAGGGGAAGGGAAAGAGGAGGCACCGATTTCTTCCCTCTGGTGCCCAGGACCCGAGGAAACAACTGAAGCTGCATCAGAGGAGGKTTAGGCTGGATTTTAGGAAAATTTTCTTCATCCAGAGGGTCTTTGGGCACTGAAACAGACTCCCCAGGGAATGATCACAGCACCAAGCCTGCCAGAGCTCCAGAAATGCTTGGAAAAAGCTCTCAGGGATGCACAGGGTGGGATTGTTGTGGTGTCCTGTGCAGGGCCAGGAGCTGGACATGGATGATCCTTGTGGGTCCCTTCCAAATCAGGATATTCCCTGATTACCCTGCAGTTGCTTTGGAGGATGTCAGAGGGAAATCAATGGATTAATTAAATTAATTAAAGGTGAATTAATGGATTGCTGGAAGACACAATTCCAAGCAGTAGGAATTGTGAATCCAGGGTGCTGCTGGTCCTGGGTGAGGTCATGGGACTCCGACAACAGCAAAGCAACAGGAAGGAAGGGATTCCCCAAGGTGATGGGGACAGAGACAAGCAGGKGTGATGGAAATGGAGGTGTGGACAGAGACAAGCAGATGTGTACAGATGTGCACATAAGAGGGGTTGTTATTTTTTCCCAGAAGATGCCACTCTGTGGCTCCAACAGCATCCAAAATAGGAAAAAAAAATCCAGGAGAAAATCCTCTGGAGATGCAGGAGGTGCAGAAGGAGCATCTCCTCCCAAAGCTGCAGGACAGAGCACAAGAAGAAAGACATTGAAAGGCTGGAGTGTGTCCAGAGAGGGGAATGGAGCTGGAGAAGGGTCTGGAGCACCAGGAGAGGCTGAGTGGGCTGGGGGGGGGCTCAGCCTGGAGAAAAGGAGGTTCAGGGTAGACCTTTTGGCTCTGCACAACTCCCTGACAAGAGGGGGCAGCCAGGTGGAATCAGGCTCTGCAGACAGGGAACAGGGACAGGATGAAAGGAAATGGTCTCAAGTTTCACCAGGAGAGGTTCAGGCTGGACATCAGGAGGAATTTCTTCATGGAAAGRGTGGTCAGGCATTGGAAGGAGCTGCCCAGGGAGGTGGTGGGGTACCCATCCATCCAAGGAACGCCTGGAGGTGGCACTCAGTGCTCTGCTTGAGCCACAAAGCTCAGGGTTGAGAAGAAAATGAGAAGAAGGTTGGGAGACACCACAGGACAAGATGATGACYGCAATGCTTTATCCATTCCTCATGTTCAATGTCCACTGAACATGAGGAGTTCCCCCCACAGGGGGAATCTGGCCAGGCTCTTTGGTCCTTCAGGATCCTTTTTGTCCCAGCACCGCTGAGCAGGTAAAGAAGGACCTGGTATGGGACTGCCAGACCTCTCACCGCCGAGCCAGCCGGGGCCCCGGGCATGCACTCAGGTTGCACAGGAAGCTCTGACAGCAGTAGGAGGTGTAGGTAGCCAAGCCCAGCTTGAAGTTGTGATYTGGGCAGGTCTCGGAGCACTTCTTGGTGATCCTCTTCCAGAAAGACAAAAAGCCTGGCCCGGAGAAGGGAGAGRGTGGGATCAGCAGTGGGATTTGTTGAGTCCCATTGTCCCCCCACAACCCCAGAAATCAGCATGAGACCCATCCTGGTCCCACCACAACCCAGGAATTGTTGGTGGAATTCCATATCCGTGCTGGTCATCCAGCACTTCCTACCTTGGATCCTGACATCAGGACATTTTTAGGTGTGCAATTGCAATGTTCATTCCGGGATTCAAATCACATTCCCAGGCTTCTCTGCTTGAGGGAAATAATACTGTTTCCCTGTGTGCCTGGCTTGGATCAGAAATAGAGTGACCAGCAGGACCAGGGAAGTGATTTTTTTCCCCTTTCTTGTCACTGGTGAGGCCACACCTCAAATTTTGGGATCAGTTTTTGGTTCCTCACTGCAATAAAGTCATTGAGGGACTGGAGCATGTCCAGGGAAGGGAATGGAGCTGAGGAAGGGGCTGGAACAACAGGAGCAGCTGAGGGAGCTGGAGGGCTCAGCCTGGAGAAAAGGAGACTTAGGGGGGACCTTCTCATTCTCTACAGCTCTCTGAGGGTGGAGCCAGGTTGGGGTTGGGCTCTGCTCCCAGGGGACAAGAAATCAAGGTTCAAATTTATTTCTTCTTCTCCTGGAGGATCCTTCCTCTCCCCTCGATGTCCCCTGATTTTCCATGCAAGAATCAAACTACAGCTAAAAAGAACAATCTCACCGTGTGAWGGGGAGGAGGATCTCAAACCTTCAGCACTGCCAGGTTGGGTTGGGAAGGGGCTCCACCTCCCACACACGCTTCCCAATGACTCCTCAGCCCATAACAAATCCAACCCAAAACCTCACATCCCATCCCTGAGTCCCTATGAGGAGACCCAGACCCAGCACCTACCGATTCCTACGGAGGCCACGTTGGTGACACAGTACACATCGTTKTCCGAGCACTTCTCAGCCTTCAGGCAGCTCCAGTTGCTTTGTTCCCAGTTGCAGCTGTAGCAGTAGAGGGCATTCACTGCAGGAGGAGACACAAAACATGCAAGAGGGAGATGGACTGACTCATCCTGACCTGCACCAGCCGTGGTGTGGCCAGCAGGACAGGGCAGGGWTTGTCCCTCTGTGCTGGGCACTGCTGAGACCACACCTCAAATCCTGTGTCCAGTTCTGGCCCCTCATGACAAGACTTTGATTGAGGGGCTGGAGCGTTTTCAGGGAAGGGAACAGAGCTGGGGAAGGGGGTGGAGCACCAGGAGAGGCTGAGGGAGCTGGGAAAGGGGCTCAGCCTGGAGAAAATGAGGCTCAGGGAGGACCTTCCCACTCTCCACAACTCCCTGACAGAAGGTGGCACCAGGATGGGTTGGGTTCTGCTTGTAGGGAACAAGGACAAGACAAGGGGAAACGGCCTCAAGTTGTATCAGGGGAGGTTCAGGCTGGACATCAGGAGGAATTTCTCCCTGGAAAGAGTGGTCAGGCATTGGAAGGGGCTTCCCAGGGAGGCGATGGAGTCCCCATCCCTGGAGATGTCCAAGGAAGGCCCGGACGCGGCACTCAGTGCTCTGGCAGTGATAGGTCAAAGACTGGACTCAAAGATCTTGGAGATCTTTTCCAACCTCAATGAATCTGGGATTCTGTGAAATGCCACCAGTCCTGGCAGCAAAAACTGTCCCTTCTTTTCATTGAGTTTCAAATTGATGAGGTGCAGGTCAGATAAAAGCCATGGAGCTCAAAGACCCAACCCTCTCTTCCAGTGCCGCATCCAGCCTGGCCTTGGACACCTCCAGGGATCCAGGGGCAGCCACAGATTTTCTGGGTAACTTTTGCTAGGGCCTTCCCACCCTCACAGGGAAGAATTTTTTCCATATATCCAACCCAAATTTCCCTCTTTGAATTTGATAGGCCAAGGACAGCAGGTTTGATGCAATGCTTGGAGCAGGGAACAGTAGGGACTCCTGGGGGAGTTTCCAAGGATGTGCCAAGGCCTGGGGTCACCTTTTCTAYTTGCTGGGGATGATTAAACTGCAGCTTAATTAGGCAGAAAGCSCTGGCAGATAAAAAGGGTTAATTGGGACCTTCACAGCCTAAGGTCAGGCTCCCACGYCTTTGTCTTTGGGTGGGACATCAGTGCCCCCAAAAATAAATCCAGAACCTGGTTTAAAGGAAAAAGAAGATGAAGAGAAGGATTTTTTACTCTTTGCTGTGAGAATTCAGCCCTAAGATATGTGCAGYGAATGCTTAATTTTTACTGCCTGGATAATCCAACGTGGATTAGSCCAGGCTTCGTTTTGGCACTGAGGACAATCTCCCTGTCTCCCGGGCCTTGTTAACACTTGGAAATCTGTCAGGATTGCTGTTCTGGTGAGTAAACAAAGCTAAATAGCAGAAAGGTATTCTCAGGCYACAATGGGCCAGAAATAACTATTCCAAGGAATTCTTTCTCTGCACCAGACATGTGGCACAATTCCACGCGCTGGCAAAGCCTCTCCTGCTCTCCAAAATGAGGATGAGGTTTATTCCCTCTGGTCTATAGAGGATATAGGATCATATTCCTCAAAAGGGCTCTGATTTAATTGATCATCTCTCCATGAAATAAAATACACGATCTGTAACACAATTACTATGCAAATACCCACCACCATTAACCCGTTCAGTCCACATCCCAACTTCTCCCTAGTTCCCTGACTTTTTGTCCCAAAATCTCTAAAGTCACCAAGCTGTGGGGTAGAAACAGCTGCACAAGGCCAGATGTTGGAGGTGTGGCCCTGTCCTCATGGACCAGAAACACAGAGCATCAAAATTTAGAAATAACCTCAGCCTTGTACCACCCCACCAGGAAAGCTCCCTGGAAAGTGTCTCAAAGGCAAACCAGTGGGAGCTGCCTCCTTTCTTCTGTCTTTTTTCCCTAAAAAAACAGTAGGACAGGGAAATTTCCCATCGGAAATGAACATTTTCTCACACCCAGACCGAGATTACAGATAAAACCCCCCAAAATGAGCACTGTGTCCTTCAGCTGCGCCATTCCAAGACCTGAGGAACCCTCTCCCGTGATTSCTCTCCCGGGATATGAGGCCTCCCCGCTTTTAAAACACTCAACCATACATTATCTAGGAGCAAACCTCACCTTGAGCAGCAAATAGGACCAAAGCCAGCACCGCAAGGAAAGAGAACTTCATCTTCTCCCGATCGTCTCCGCAGCCCAGGAAAAACACCCTCACCTGGGGACAGGATATAAATCTTCCCTGCCTTTGGACGGAGCGATGATGAAGCCAACGATTTGGAAAGAGTGGGCAGGGATCACGGATTAGATGAGAGGCCAGGAATGCATGTGGGTTTTTTTCTCACCTCAGCATTGCCTTCAGGCTGGGCTGGCGATTCCAGGGAGCAGTGAAAGCACTCTGGGAATTCATGCCATTTATTGGGATWAATCCTTTAATTCAGCTCTGGTCTGGCCAGCAGTGCTGCTGATGTCTGATCATCATGTCTGTGGCCTTTTCTTAAAGGAAAATGGGAACAAGCGGCATAAATTAATGGAATTACCTGAGTGGGTTATGCCAAGGTTAGACYTAGAGAAGTCCCAACATCGACAGTCAGGGTAAACCAAGGGTAAACCTGGATATTCTCAGGGACAGGAAATGCATAATTTGRTTACCTACAAAGTTTTAAATCAGAAAATCCTGGAATGGTTTGGGTTGGAAGAAACTTTAAAGATCATCTCATTCCACCCCCTGYCATGGGCAGGGTCACTTTCCAGGTGCCTCCAAGCCCCATGCAACCTGGCTTTGAACAYTTACAGCAAGGGTTAAAGAGATCTTYATCCCCCTTTTACAAGGAGCATCCAATCCAGGATCTCTGGATCCCAGTCAGACAAAAATGTCATCAGCCTTTCCTATTTCCCTRCACGATGACACTTTGGGCGGAGCTGGAGCTGATAACTTCATCTCTTCTGGGGCTTCCATTTGACTGCCTGTCCCACTTGTGCTTCCAAGGAAAGAATTATCAGCATGTTTAGCATTGGATATCAGCAGACATCTCTGTGAATCACCAAGCCACCAAAGAGCAGGGAGGGTGAAGCAGGAGGAGCCCCATGGAGCAAAGTCACTTGGGTCATCAGATGTCTGCGTATCCCTTCCCTCTCCATCCTGCCGGAAAAGAGAACAGAGATCCACTGCAACCACACGGCCTGGAGTTTAGGAGATGGAGAAGAGGCAGAGGGTCCAAAAAAGTGTGGAAGAAAGATGGATGAGGTGAGGTTAAAATTGGGGTCAACAGGATTTTGGTTGGGGGGAGCTGAGCAAGGTGAGCAAAATTCCCTGAGGCAGAGGTGATGCTCATCCAAGACATTCAGAGCATCCAGTGGGATCAATCACTGATCACAGTGAAGGCATGGCCAGAAAAAAAAACAAAGAGACACCAAAAACCCACCACATCTTCATTTCCAAGGAAACAAAAGGCAGGRGGGATTCTTGCAGAGAGCTTTTTTTGCTTGACTTGCAGATATTTTAGAGGTTTCTGACACCACCGGCTCTGCTGATGTAAAACTGGAGCAACAGGATGGGGAAGTAATCCCTGATAACCCCAGGAGCGCCAGCCATTCCTCTCCCGTGGATCTACAACTGGGCGTGGAGAGGATCAACCACATCTCTTGCCCAAGAGATGAAGCTCTGCCAGGCTTGGGGCCCGCGAGCCCCAGGAATGTCAGAGGAGGTGTGTCAGTGCTGCCCGGTGTCACAAGGCAGTGACCAAAAAGCAGGACCTGTTCCCAGGGAATAAGGATTGGCCAGTGTGATTCATGGTGGCATCAGGGATGAGTCTTTAGGGGAGTCTGGAAATCAGCCTGGGAATCTAAGGCTTGGAGTCCTGCGACAGAAGGAGCACCATGGAAAAGCCCCGTCCTCTTATTTTAACCGGTTTTGACTGTTTTTTTGAGGAAAAATGTGGAAAAATCATTGTGTTGCTCTTCAGTGTGATTTGGGTTGTGGACTCTCCATYCCTGGAAGTGTCCAAGGCCAGGCTGGATGGGGCTCAGAGCCACCTGGGATAGGGGAAGTTGGCCCTGTCCATGGCAGGAAGTTGGAATAAGATGATCTTTGAGATCCCTTTTAACCGAAACCATTCCACAATTAACAAGGTTTATTCCCTCAATTCCAATGACCAGTGGCACAAACATCTCCTGCCTGACACAGAACCAAGTCCAGGGATTCCAATCTGCYCCTCACTGCCAGCAGGAAGATCTCCAAGGCCATGGGAAGTGGTCCACCACAGCTCCACTGGCAGGAGAGGCTTGATGGACAAGCAGGATGATGGACAAAGGTGCACAGYGGGTCAATTCCCATTTTGAGGGGTGCCAGTGGCCCACTGAGCCAGATTTTTGGGAAGTTACCATCCTCTCCTCAGAAATGTGTGATGCACGTGTGAGCTGTGGTGCTGCCATGGCTGGCATTTCCTCAGGATGGTGGTGTCACCCTGGATKGCCAACACATGGAAGCAGCATGGCAGGAGCATGGAAGGATTGGCTGGATCAGGGCAGAGAGCTGGAAAAAAGGTGTCTTGGTATCCATATGATATAGCTGTGCCAGTAAATTCAAATTTCTGGGACCACTTCCAGCCCAGAGGCCAGGACATAAATCAGTCTCCTGGGTATAGTCCTTCCTTCATTTTATTTCGTTATGTTTATTTATTTTATATATTRTGCCACCACCTCTGTTTTATTCCAGACATCCCATGGAGCAAGGGAGGTTAATCCATCCTAGAACCTCACCAGGGAACGTGCCAACAATTAAACAAATTAATTAAATGTTGTGGATGATGTTGCAGGCCASGGATGTTCCTAGCAACTGTTTGTTTCCCCTATCTTAGGTTCATCCTTGGAGATCAGGCCCTTGCAGGCGCGTGAATCACATCCTTCAGGATGAGAACTCAATCCCAGATTTTGCTCTTGGCTCTGGAACACTGCACGGCGTGCCTCTGTTGGGGTCACATAAACGTGGCTTTGTTTGCCTGCCCTCTGGAATGTTCTGACTRTTGAGCCTTCCTGGATGTGGAACAGAGAGCAGAAATCCAGGAACAAGGAGCTGCTCATTTTCTGGGAGGTTTATGCTGGGTTCTTCTCAAAATGGCCTTGGGATGAGTATCCACACATGGAACCACAGGTAAGGAACTCCATGAGAAGGAGGGACAGAAACATCACAGATTTGCCCCATGGGAACTTTTCCTTTTATTTGTCCTGAAGCTTTTACCTATGGTCAGTGTGACACCTGCCTCAGGCGGCATCTCAGAAGGTTCCCAGGTAATTCCATCCATCCCAATCTGTTTTGCCATTCCCACCCAGTTCTAGTGCACCAGGGGTTGCAGGATGAAATTGGTTCTTAGCTCCAGGGATATTCCAGCCCTAAATAAAACCCAGGGAAGCAATTGCAGAATCATGTTGCCCGTCTTTCATTTTTTGTAGAGTTTTTGAGTGAGGAAAAGGCTGGATATGGCATCAATTTTTGGTAGGGATGACAATTTGGAGAACACAGGGCTCTGGGAGAAGAGGAACTCTATAGGTTGAGCACCTCCTGGAGGAGTGGGAGCTCCAGCTCTTCCCTTCCTCAATTCCAACGGCAATAAAAAGTGATTTTTCCTTCTTTTTCCCATCTTTCTCCTTCTCCACAGGGATTTCCTTGTACTCATCCTGCAAGGCTCGTTCGTTGCACCCCTCCTGGCTGTGACCTCCCCAAAATCAGAACACCCAGGTGAGCTGTCACCACCATGTCCCTGACACAGATCTGGCCTCACCTCARACCCTCAGAAGTGCTCAGATTCCAGGGAAACTGAGATCTTGGATCCATACAGGTTTAAACCCTTTGCCTGTCAAACACAGAAGGATTTGGTTCCTGGGGCTTCTCCTGCCAATCTCCCACACATTCCCCATTCCTGGGTGCTCTGGAGGTGCCCAGATGCTCCCCATGTCAATTCCCATGGGGAAGAGACACTCAGGATCAGGAACCAAGTGTGGGCAGCAGGGGCTGGGATCCATTAAGGTGGTGGAATCCTAAGAATTTGCACTTTGGCTTCCTCTCTTCCAAGCAGGACAGGAAAATGGTGCCCCAGGGCCATACTAAATCCATGCTTATGGATATTACCTGATTTTATGGTGTCTCTGGGAGTCTTGTATTGCCCAAATCCCAGCTGGATCTGGATTAAGTCACATAGAAGATTACATCTGTAATTGGGGACATTAATCCAACAGTTATGTGCAGCTCCAGGGGAGTCCTTCCAACTTCCTTGGGGCTGGAATCACTGCAGAGCTGTCATGGAATCTACGCCAATAATACATGGGACGCCCATGCACAATTCCAAGGCCTCTCCCTCAGCTGTCCACACTTTTTAACTGTTAATGTGTTCCTCAGCATGGCTTTGACCTGACAAAGTAGGAAAATCCCTGAAAATCCCACATCCAAAATCCCACACCTTCTCCAGACAACATATTGAAACAATACCACTGGAGATGTAAATCCATTCTTTTTGAAGACTTTTGTTTTTTTCCATAAACCTTCTTACATTTCCATCTGGCTGAGACACAAGGAGAGCTGGGGCTGTGCTGATCAGGATTGGATCTTCCTCCCACTCACTTCCATTTGTTTTCCTCCCTGTGTAATTCCATGAACAACCTGTTCCCAGCCCYGAGCCCGACTATGAGTCAGCTCTCCATAAAAAGAGAATAAATAATAAACATCTTGGAATTGTCTTTGGTGTTTTTTTTTTTTTAATAGTGGATGTAGAGGCAATGTTTAGATAGGAGATTGGGAATAAATTCTTGTCTGTGAGGGTGGTGAGGCCCAGGTACAGGTTGTCCACATAGGCTGGAATCCCTGGAAGTATTCCAAGCCAGGYTGGAGCAACCTGGGATAGTGGAAGGTGTCCCTGCCCATGGAGGATGGAACGAGATAAGCTTTAAGGTCTTTTCCAACCCAAATCATTCCATGATTCTGGGAAATAAGGATGGGAGAAGAAGCTCCCAAGGGCACTTCACATTTTCAGGTCAAGTTTTTTTGGGAGCTGTGACAGCAAGAAGTAGAAGGAAAACCAACCTCCAGCTCTTGATAGAGCCCTGTCTGCTGACTTCCTAAACACCACAGGATGGGGACTCCTGGATTTCCATTGATCCCAGAGAAAAGGGGTCCAGCCAGGAGAAACCGCTCTGTGAGGACCAGGATTGTGGTTGTCCAGTTGGGGTCAATCCTGAAGCTTTGGGAAAGRTTTGTTCCCACTGTGGCCATGGGGATTTCTCTCCTGTGACCCCATAGAATATCCTGAGGTGGAAATTATGCGAGGATCATCC